GCCTCCCTATATGCTATCGGAGTAGTGTTGGCTCACAGATGGCCCAATGGAGAGGAACGCCCAATAGCGTACTCTTCCTGGACTTTGGCTGATGAGGAGTGCAAGTATGCCCAGATAGAGAAGAAAGGTTTGGCAGCCATCTTTGGTGTGAGAATGTTCCAATAATACCTTTGCAGACAAATTTGTAATTGTAATAGACCTCAAACCCCTGCTAGGGCTACTGAAAGAGGACAAGGCCGTGTTGCCCATAGCTTTAGGCCTAATTCATCGGTGGGCTCTCATTCTAAGTGAGTACAATTACAAGTTGGAACGTCGTCCAGGAGGCCAAATAGTAAATGTGGATGTTTTGAGCTGCCTCCCACTGGCAGATACACCACCAGTAGTGCTGCTACTAGAAGACTCCATTCAGGTTTTAAACTTTCTAGACCCCCTTCTGGTCACTGCTGACAATATCGGACTGTGGACGCAAAAAGATCCAGTCCTGGCAAAACTAAAACAGCTGGGTGATGGAGAAACAAAACCAGAATTAAAACCTTTCTGGGCCCAGTGAGACCAGATCACCGTAGATAAGAGTATTTATTTTGGTGAGCAAGAATATATATCTCAAGCAAAGGTCACTGACAAATATTGGCTGAATTCCGCCAGGGTCATCCAGGAGTCTCCACACTGAGGATGTTGGTAAGAAGTTATGTCTGGTGGCCAGGACTGAATGCAGACCAAGCTGCGTTGGTGGGCTAGTGCCCAGAGTGCCAGCAAGCACAAAAAGTACCGCTAGCAACTAGCATTTGTGGGAATGGCTGGGTATCGACCTGGTTACACGTTGACTGTGCAGGTCTTTCCATGGGCTCAATGTTCTTGGTCATTGTGGACATCCACTCAGTGGGTGGACATCATAGAGTTCATTCATCAAACATGGGATTGACAATAGAAGAGCTGCGAGCACTTTTTACAATACACAAGCTCCTGGAAGTGTTGGTCACAGACAATGGGCCAGCAGGGAATTTGAGTATTTCCTAAAGTTGAATGGAATTTGTCATGTAAGGACAACTCCATACCATCCATCATCCAGTGTTCTGGCAGAAAAAGCAGTCCAAACTTTGAAGGCAGACTTAAAGAAACAGCCCACAGTTTCACTCGATAGCAAACTGTCCCAGTTCCGATTTGATTATCAGACACCCATCATGCAAATCCAGGAGTAGCTCCAGCAGAACTGCTAATGGGGAGAAGACCCCACACCAGGTTAAATCTGATCTTCCCGGCTTGTGGGGGGAAGGTGAAACAACATCAGGAATGCCAATGTCGGACACCAGACTCCTCTAAGCAAGAGAGAGACAGTATACTTCAGGGGATGAAGTTTGGAGCCGAAACCATGGAAATGGCCCTGAATGGGTAAGAGGAATGGTCGACGTGAAGTCAGGTCCCGTGACGTACAACGTTTGGATAGGTGAGGCAATCCTGATCAAAGATATGGACCACACGAAAGCCACAAACTCGTAAATGGGGCAGCAGCAAAACATACCTGGCCCCTCAGATCATTCGGGGAGGTTGTCAGAACCAGTGGGTTCTCCCCCTCCGTCTAGTGTCAAAGAAACCTCAGTCTGAGATGGACATGATGGATGTCACTGCCTCGCCACCTTTACTGCTTGAAGAAGAGGATAAATTTCTTCCGAGACAGTCTGGGCACAGGAGGCAGGAAATGGTCTGGTGCACGCTGCCATAACTGAGGCTGAGTCGGACGAACTGGACCCAGTGCAAAAATGCCCCAGGAGAGGCTACAATAAAAAGAACATGCCTACCGCCTCGGACGTGGAGCAGGGAGGGATGTAGTGACTGTTTAAAAAAAAGTCAGCCAGGTGGACCTGGCAAGATGAGTTTCTTGATTGGGGCTGTTAATCTGATTGAATCAGGGAGCCTTGGCTGGAATAATATAAACAGGATATAAACAGGCGTGTCAGAGCTTCTGTTTACTCTGAGAGCTGGCTCTGAGGAAGCTAAGCTGGACCAGTGTCAAGTACTATGCACGTGTAAATGAATGGTGTCTTGGTGATGGGATACTGGCCTCTGTGGAATTATTTCAATCACTGTTTTAGTGAAGGTCAGGTTGGGCTTTAAATTCTACCTCCATTTCATTCCAGGAGCTCACTGGAGACCTGGCATCTCTCAAGCATTGCATCAATGTTATGACTGCCTTTAGCAGGGCCAGCCAATCCACTATCACATTGATATAGTCAGTCAATTTGAGAGCCATCAACTTTGAGACTATTGTTAGAACCCCCAAAGTGATAGGCTGCACAGGTGACCATTCAGACTCTATCAATTATTTAGTGCCTTCCTTCATTAATAGGAAGGACTTCCATTCTATTAATGTGTAACTGGTCTATGACCACCACCAATAGATCTTGCAGGAGTATGCTGAGTACTCTAGATGCACTCACAGCGCCCATTTATTGAGGTACTTCCAGGTTCCTCAGTTTTTCACTCCTACCACTCCAACTCGAAATTTCAGGTTAGATTCTTGGCATCCAGGACTGCCCAACAAAGACATAGCTACTGACTCTGGTGAGGAACGTATTGATGAGAGTGAAGCAGAAATACAATACTAGCCACATGACAACTTGAACCACCATCGAGCACACCATTACATTCCTGAAAATTAAATTCGGTACCTGGATAATTCCATTGGGGCATTTCAATGTGATTCTAGATTCAGTGGTTTACAGTGCACTGTGATGAAATGAATGACAGTACCTGGAAAGCCATGAGGGGCTACGAGGAAGATGTAATGATATAGCTACTAAGAAATCTTGGGAGCTGCTTATAGACACAGGGCTTGAATGACTCTTTCCACATCCTCCTTTCAGTCCATCTTTTCGCCCTCCAGTGTTGCTTTTAATTGTTTGAAATCCTGATTCCTGTTCCAGGAGTCATCCAATTTTCCTTCGGGCAGGTTGTGATATTCCTGCACTTCCAGGAAGCCTCCAACAATAGGTGGAAATGTTGCCAAAATGAATAACACCTTTAGTACAAATACTGACATACAGAGTCAACTGTAGCTGTGCAGGCAGGTTGTCAAGCTGACCTGACCACGGCTCGCCATCTCCACTTTCAACATCAGAACTTGTTTGGTTGGGCAGAGGTCTCCTTCTGCAGATGAGGACCTCCGTCCTTTATTTAGTAGCCTTAAATGAAGCTATTTTCCTTTCCACCAGAGCTGCCCAACTATCATTGTCTCTTTTGAAGGGTAAGTAAAATGATTTACTGACCTTTGGACTTCCCAGCAGGGTAATGGTTGGTTAAATATTTGTGATTAATCGCATCTATGTGTTCAGTGATAGTAGGAACTGCAGATGCTGGAGAATCCGAGACAACAAGGTGCAGGGCTGGATGAACACAGCAGGCCAAGCAGCATTGTTAAGTTTCAACAGCCCTTGTTATTCCAAAGCAGTTCTTCTCACTGTTATAATTAAGACCCTCTTCAATGCATTAACAGTAAAATGCTTTTGTAAATATACAATTGAAAATATTTAAAAGTTGCTTCTGAATGTCTAGAGGAGGTGGCACATTCCTTTTGTATAATTTACAGGTATTAAGATGTGGATACACTCTCAAACAGGTTCTGCGCCAGCTGATACTAGATCTAAATAAATCAACTTTGCCCACAACTAATCATCCCAAATCCAGGAAAAACAGCGCCCTTTTAATTTACAAAACAGACCTAGATAATTTACAACACCAGCAGAGGCTTCTCCAGAGCCCACAGCGGCACACCTCACCTTCCGCGAGTATGAGGGTTAGATATTATGTTGCTGGGTGGAGTCTCAGTCGTAGTAAAAGACATTGAGACCACAAACATTGATCATACTCAGCCCGTTAATTTCCAGGACGTCTAGGCAGAAAATCTTGTAGCCTGCTTCCTAACATGTTGTGCCATTCCCAAGACAGAATCGGTTGCAATTAATTTTGGTCAATCTGCTCGTGGATGTTATTGATACACCCGGTGACAGGTGCGTCTTGAGAACTCACCTCTTCTGGCTCAGTGAGGATACTATCTCTGTGGCCAAACCGTAAAGACCTTCCTGTCCCATTACTGTCACAGAACAGATTGTAGTTATTTTAATCAACCTGTTTATGACACCGCTCAAATAGGTGTGACTTGAACCCAGGTCTCCGGACTCAGAGGTATGGACACTATCAGAGAGTCACAAAAACCCCAGCATCAGTTGTAGACAACAAGGTGCAGAGCTGGATGAACACAGCAGGCCAAGCAGCATCATAAGAGTTCCTACTCTCTCAGCATCAGTTGTAGAATGACTTTCAGCACCTGTTTCAGCCAGTGTGGTCTCTCCTTTAAGAGGTACAGGGCGATTCTTGGCTGCAAGCTGCCCTCATTGAAGTCGGCAGATAACACACACAGTTTGCATTGTACGTACAGCCTGTAGCTGAAGGTTCCTGTCCAGTGTGATCCCACATCGGCATTGCCACACCCGTTTCCAGGCTGTGTGCAATGTTGCGGCTAAGACCTTAACCACAGAGTTACGATAGGGTTTAGCAATAAGAATATTTTGATGTTGTTTTCCAGGGTGTGCTAATTTGGGGGTGGGGCGGGGGGGGCGGTGTGTGGTGGGGGAACCTGTTCACAGAACCTCACAAGAATCGAGTTTCAAAACAATACACTTGAGACAAGAACACATGTCAGCAGTTTTACAGGTGCCCCGTGTCATAAGTGTGTGTGTGTGTAGGATGGGGAGTTTTTAAAACATGCTATCAGTTTGTTTATTTGCGCACTGAGCCCGGTTAAAACTCATTCAATTTCCACTTCATGGCGGGGGTGACCTTTTTAAAAGTTGACAGCTCTCGAAACAGGTGCTTGAATAAAGGGAAGCTGGAAAGGCGTTCCCAGGAAATTGTTTTAAAAAAAAGCCTGCCTTTCAGTATGTGGTTTGACAGGTTCAGCACAGCAGGATTTCTTCATTCAGGCAACAAAGCACCTCAGCTCTAACATGGGCACCTTTATTGGTCACATCTCGCCGGGTCTGGCTTTCCTTTCCTTTGGGATTCTCTACGCCTTCAAGTTTTCTCTGATGGTGCTCCGGCGTGAGGAGATCCAACTTGTCTCTCGCTCTCGGCCGCCTGGATTGCGGAGTTGTTTAAAGCGGATTCCGGTTGAAGGGGTGATGAAGATCGTGTACGGTACCCTGGCGGTCATGGCAGAATTCTTTTATCCACCCGGAGTGTACAAACTGATTATTTATAACAAAGAGAAGCCCGACTACCCGTTTATCCACCCCAATGAGTGGCAGCATGTCACCATGTATTCCTATTTCGCCCTGAGTGGTTGGATGGATATTATCAGCCAGGCTTGCCTGCCGAGACGTCTATTCCTGTTGGAAAACATAGCCATCACCCTGGCGTTTTACATCGAAGCCCTGCTCCTTTACTCTCACATGCACGGCAAGGAGAGAGTAGAGAACTCAGTGCACACCTTGCTGCTGCTCGCCTGCTTTCTGGTCTGTCTGATCCTGACTGTTGAGATTTGGCGACCAAATGATCACGTCCTTTGGTTCACCAAGACCTGCTTGGTGATGACCCAGGGGACCTGGCTCCTGCACGCCGCCTTCATCCTCTACATGCCGTTCACCGGGAAACCCTGGAAGAGCGACGATATGGCCAACCTCATGTTTGTCACCAACTTTTTCTGTTGGCACGTCGCACTGAACATTATCTTGGTGCTGGCCATCTTCTCACTCACCGCCCTGTGGCACCGCCGCTGTGGCCCTGCTTTCCAGGAGGTCAAGAGGCAGGTCAGTTTCCACCTGAAGAGTGCGGATGGCAGAGGCCTCCCTTCCGAATATACCAAACTCCAATCTGAAGAGGAGGAGACGCAATTGCTCCAAGAATGCCCTTAGCGTCCTGGGTTCGGCGGGAGCGCAATGTGTCTGATCCACATCGCGCCTCTCGCTTAAATCTCATCATTACCTTCAGCCAAGACTCAGACAGGGTTTGTTAGTCTCTCCATTTCTTTAAACTACGCAGGCCAGACAGGTAAGAAAGCCACCAATGATGTGCACGTTACAGCTTTTATCACCGATATTTTTGAGTCGTTTGTCTTTATTATTAATGTTTAAAGGAGTTTCTCAGCTGCTCTTGAAAAAAATAGTATTTGCGTATTTATACTGCGACCTGGTTAGCATTATGGTGCTTTTCAGACTGAATGTTTAACATCTACCATGGTGGCTGACTTTATTATTCATTACCACACAATTCTAGTTACCTGAGTTGAATATCCCTTCTCTTTAAGAATAATTCAAATTTAGAAATTTTTATTTTTCTCCCTTTGATAATTTTGCCCATACCCTCTTGTCACCCAGAGATATTGAGTGTGTTTTTTTTGTGGATATTTAAATGGGTGCTGGTGAGTTGGCAGCTCGTTTTACTGTCCACTTGATTTATTTCTCTATTAAAATCAATAGGGCCAAAACGAGCTGCCGATTTTTATTTATTCATCCACGAGATGTGGTCATTGATGGCCAGATCAGCATTTGTTGCCCATCCCTAAATGTCCAGACTTCAATCACATTGCTGTGGGTCTAGAGTCACATGTAGGTCAGACCAGGTGAAGACAGCAGATGTCTTTCCCCAAAGGCCATTAGTGAACCAGATGAGGTTTACTTACAATCAGCAACAATTTCATGGTTATCATTAGCTTCCTAATTCCAGAATTTTTAAAAAATTGAATTCAATGTCCGCCATCTGGCATGATGGAATTTAAACCCTGGTCCCCAGAAATGAATCTGGTTCTCTGGATTAATAGTTTAACGATCTTACCACTAAGCCATCACCTCCCCTGCTAATACCTATTTTGTACAATTATCCAGGATGAATTTATATTGCACTGCCTCTTTCCACAGGCAGCATTTACCTCCTTTTACCATAAGCAAGCGATATCTCTCCATGGTGGTCTGGACTGAGCTTTTCTAATTCAGTTGGAGAGAGATAGGGTGGAATTCGCAGCATTGATATTTCCACCATCAAAAGGTCACAAGTGGGATGTTCATTAACGATTCCATCATGCAGCATTCCCAACTTCCTTGAATGCTGAAGCAGTCCATGCTCGCATGCAGCAAGAGTAGTATTCAGGCAAGTACTGAAACGGGGTGAGTAATTCATCCCAGACAAATACCAGGCAATGATTGTCCTCATCAAGACAATTTCTTTTGACATTTAAAGGCATTACCATCTCTGAATCCCCTACCACTAACATTCTCAACTTTATCATTGATCGGAAAAATAACTAAGCCAGCCACATGAATAAGGTGGTGCTACAAGAGCAGGCCAGATGCTAGGAATGCTGTGGCAGGTAACTCATTTCCTGCTTTCCCACTGCCTGATCACCGTTTACAAGGTACAAGCTGGGAGTGTGATGGAATACTCTCCAGTTGGTTGGATCTGTGCAGCTCCATTAACAAGGAGATTGACACCCCATCCACCACCTTCTAGCATTCACTTCCTTCACCACCATTGTATGACGACAGTGATAATTGTGCGCACCACCTTCAAGATCCACTGCAGCAACTTGCCAGGGCTCCTTTGACAACACCTTCCAAACTTGTGACCTCTACCAGCTGGAAGGAGAAGGGCAGCTGAAACATGGGAATACCAACACCATCTGCAAGTTACCCCTAAGCCACACCCTTCTGACTTGAAACTATGTCATCATTCCTTCATTGGCACAAAGTCAAAATCATAAACTCTTCCCCCCAGCTACCCCTATAGGTATATGGACCCCTATGGAGTGCAGCAGTTCAAGAATGCATCTCACCAGCACATTCTTAAAGACAATAACGCATGTTTTGTCAATGATGCCCACATCCCAAGAACAGTTTATTTAAAAAGGTTAAATATTCCCCTTCTAACACGGAGGAATACTCCTAACATTGTTTTGTTGAAATCAACAAACTCAATAAGATTAAAAATGGTACATGGATTCTATTAGTCCTCCTGCCTTATATTCTCTTTGGAGAAGTTTGTTGAACCATTTAGGAACTTATGAAAGCAATGTAACTCTGTGACACTCAATGCCTCTATATCAGCAACAAGATAGTGATATAGGTTTATTGTCACAAGTCAGAAGTCTGACAGATTACAATGCAATTGCTTGGATGGTCCAACAACACTCAAGAATCTTTATACAATTCAGGTCAAAGCAGCCTATTGATATAGCACCTTATCCGCTGGCATAAACATCGCTGCCTCTGCCATTAAAGCACCATGGCTGCAGAAGGATGTGCTGCACAAACTCACCAAGGCACCTTGGTAGCACCTCACAAACCTACAAACTTCACTACTTAGAAGGATGGGGGCAATAGGTGTGATTGAGCAGGGTCACCTTCAAGATCCCTTCCAAGTCACAGACCGTTCTGATATTGCCAGATATCACTATTGTTTCATCATTGCTGTGTCAAAATCTTGGAATGTCTTACTAGGCGACACCCTTTGACATTTCAAGGCATTACCATCACTAAATTCTGTACCATCAACATACTCAACATTATCATGGGTAAGGAACTTAACTGGATCAGCCATATAAATAAGATGTCTACAAAAACAAATCAGAGACTGGGAATTCTGTGACAGGTATGTCACTTTGTGTCTCCTCACTGCCTATCTACTATTTACAAGGCATGACTCAGGATCTGAAGGAATACTTTGGGGACATTTTCAGCACCTAGAGTGCAATCACTTAAGAAGAAGACCCAACATCCCTTTCTCAAACATGCCTTGGGATCTATAACACATGCTAGATTTACCAATAATGCCCACATTGTGACAATTAATTACATAAAACTAGAAAATGTATAATTTATTCTGTTGTTGAAATTAATCTGTGGTTTAGAGGAATTCAATAAAGAGATGTGGAAAATTGGCCATTTGATTTTCTATCCTGAACTTCTAAAATGTAATGGGTTATATTCTTAACGCACTATTTTTACCTGAATTGAACTGAAGTATGAAAGAAAATCAGTAATTGATTACATCAGATTGTTAAAATCAATCACTGTGAAGAATATTGTACATGACTTGCAGGAAGATGTAAAAGTTTATAAGTTTCAAATATGTGCAATGATTGTGATACAGTTCTACCAAAGTTTGGGTAATAGTTGCTTTAGTATTCCTTTGCAAGTTAACATTGTTGTTATTTTAGCATTGTTAAAACTCCAAGTCACATAAAAATGATCAGATTTCATTTAATTTTGCTTGGTTGAAGTGTTTGGATAGAAATAGTTACTTTGCTAAGTAATACTAGGGTTGATGTTCCGAAGTCCCTTGGGACAGCTGTTTGTGTTAAAAGTCTGTATGTAAACGCAACTTGTTGTTGTTAACTGTGTGCTACTAGTATGCTTCTGTCCTATCAGCCAAATCAGCCAGTCCTCTTATTGTACAAAAATCATGGAAGACACTCTCAGAATTTTATGATATGACCTATCATATGTTAATGCTCCATTTTACATTTAAAAATCGAATTATTCTTAAATTTAATTAGGAAAACAAAAATAATGAAACCAGATTATTTTTTTTATAATTATTGCCAACTGATTTATGGGACTTGGCTTAAAATGAGCTGACTGTCCTTCTACTGATGGTGTATGTATTTAAATTTGGCTTTACAATGTTTATGCTAATTTCCAGTATAAAATCAATTAATTGAAAACGTGACCATTTCAATCAAGCCACTGAAGCCTATCAATGCTAATGCTGAAAAACATTGTGTCAAATCAAGACTAACACACAAAGCAAAAATAATTACCTGTAGTTTAAAATGTGCCTCACCTGGATGTGAGAGTCTTCTCAAGTCTGTAGATTTTGTTTGGGATCAAATTTTATTCAATATTCTGTGTTCATTGAAAACTTTAAGCACTATTATGCAGCTGTACTTCTGAATATGAATTATACTTCAGCATATATGAACCTGCACAGCCAGAGAGAGACAAATTGCTCAATCACACCATTTGCTAAATATTAGAACCTGTATCAAAAAGGCACCATTATACAGTGCAACTCACCCATACAAACATGTTAAGTACAGGCAGGTTCAAAGTGCTCTCCAAATATGGCAAATGAGATAGCCTTATGTGATGAATGTTTTGATGGCTTACTCACCTGTACAAATGAAATGTGATCACATAACTGCTTCTTGGCCTTTAGAATACATTGGATTTTTTTTTCTAATAATATGTTCAGTGGCAATGCACATGAATATATAATTTTAAAATTGACTGGCATTGGAATTTAACTGGCTAACTTTCCTTTCTGAGTGTAGAAGCTTGATGATCTATCATGCTGGTGCACTGTGGAAATTTACAGATAATTAAATATGACATATTTGGTCTTGAAATATCCTACGTTTGTGTATGGAAGTAAGTGCAGCATGAATAAAATTAATTGTCTATGCAATGAGGTAACATACTGCAAGTCATTACTATTTGAAAATTATAGTGCATAATCAGGAAGACAGGAAGTTGGATATTAGAGGTTCCATATGTTTTATTTTCCTAGCCTTCCATGTTTTCACATATGCTTTTTCACTTGATAGAATGGTGCAGGAAAGACAATTTGATTGTGGAGGGATCATCATTGTATGGTCATGGTATGTTCCTTCCTCCCATCATCATAATAATATACAGAAACAGGCATGGGAGAGGCATCTCTTCCCTAGGGATCAATTTGATAATGAAAAGTCGCAAGCTGATAATGTCCTTGAGCTGCAGTGACATTTTAAGGTAGTGTTAGGGAGGATTTCATATGCCAATCCCAACAATGACTGGGAACTATGGACCTGCCACCTGCTGGCCCCTATTTTATTCCCACTAGAATTGAGTGGGTCAGTTGTGTGAAATGCTGATGAAACCCAGCAGTCAATATCCTTAATACCTTAGGCTCTATGAGGTTCAATGGATCATCACCCATTTTGATCAGTCCTCTGAAACTTTCTGGCCAGAGTAATAAATCAACTCCATTAAACGGCATTTCTGCAGAGATTAAAAGTTAGAGCACCAAAATCATGCATGAACAAAAAGACACTATAAGCATGTGTAGAACTC